GGTGGTGGATTCGGCGAGATGAGTGCATTGTTGGGCGATACGCCAGCGTTGGGTTCTGATGAATTTGTTTCGTTGGCCATGAGTCGGAGCATATCGGCACGTTGATTTGCGGTGAGGGGAACATTACCACCATGGTTTTCGAGGGAGGAGAGCACATTGGGGAACTCGGAGAAGTTTGTCGAGAGCCCATTACGTGCATTGGAGTTTTGGATTACAGACATAATGTCCCGCTGAGGGGAATTCTCGTCTGTCGGCTGTCCTGGAGAAACGTTTGGAGCACTTGGGCGAGGACTGTGGTCAAAGACCTCCTCCACATGGCCGTGCTGGTTGGCGCTGGGTTGCCGAACATGGCCACGAGACCGCGTGTCATAGGACCCACTGGCTGATGGTGAAATTGTGGAGGATCGAGTATTGTACACATCCGTTGCGGGCGGGGCCTTCAAAAGGAGCGGCGGCTTCTTCATTGTTCTCTGGGGACTCGGGCTAGTCATTGATCCTAGAGCATTGGTAAGGTAGTCATCATCAACATCCACAATGTTTCCTTGGTCCTGTGAAATGGCTCCCGCAAAAGAATTCGCGAGGTTTTGTGGGCCGCCCTCTCCCTGCAAACTGCGGTTGTATACAGTTGCAAGGAATGTGAGAATCGCATTGATGGAGTTCTCATGGCGAGTGTGTTGCTCTTGGAAGTTGGCCGCCTGGGCATAGAGCTGCTCGTGTTCTTTCCGCAGCCTGGTGATTGTGGTCGAGATGATCGACTGCTGTTGACGAATCGCCTGAAGTTCGCGATACACCCCGGAAAGTTGATCACTGGGTACCGAGCTATCCGTGACTAATGATAATTGCTGTGGTCGAGGAGCACGGTTATCGCGAGGAGCCGGTGCACCCTCTTCGATATACTCGTCCATGTCGTTATCATCAATATCCTCCGTCTTCACGCGCGTGCCGCCCTTGCTAGGTTTGCTCGCATGTCCGCCACCTCCAGCGTTCTTTGGCTTCTGAATGAGCCATAGCAAATCTGGGTGGCCTCGTTTGAAATAAGGGTTCGCGTATTCGCTGGGGCTCTTGTTTTTCCGTTCGCTGGCGCGCATTGAATTATCGGAAAGTCCGACCTTCTTGTGAAAGCCGTACATGTTCAGTTGTCGGACGAATGAGGCGTAGTTATTGTGTTTAAAGAGCTCGGGGATCAATGTTCTCGCAAACTCATCTTCGTCTAGGACGACGAAAGAATTGCCATCGTCGGACCATCGAATTAATTCCGTATTCTTAGATTCGTCCAAGAAGCTGTGGTTCTCAGTCAGTCCCATAATTAATCACAAAGTCATGAATGTATCATACCTGCTCAATTTCTGTACAAATGGCGGGATTTGTTTTCGTTTTGCCTGTGAATCTCTCTTCGCAGCCAAGGCTCGGCGGTAGAGTTCCTCTAGAGACTCTCCCCATGCGCCGCTCTCTCCATTTCCAGTATTTCCTCCGTTTTCCACATATGAAGCTGGAGGTTGCTCGTAGCCACGGTTTCGGCTGACCACCTGGTTCGCTTGTCGGCGAGCGAGCTGGTTAGATGCTGTCGCAGCCGGTGCAGACACATCTTGGGGTGGCGCAAAGCCTACGGGGTTGTAGGAGGGGTCGGAGAAGGCGGCGGTATTGATGGCATTGACGGGGGGGGTTCTGACCCCATTGTAGGAATTGATCGTTCGAAAGCTGAGAGCCGGGGTTCGCAGTGGTGGGAAAGTTCGGTACGGGGTTCATCTGAGGATGGACAGGCGGTACTGTTCCCGGTGCAGGTCTCTTGCGGGTCATTCCTTGCGAGCTCATTGTGAATAAACTGGCGTAAAGGCGTCGAGTTGAATCTTATCGCGGTGGGGTTTGATATAGAATTGTATCTCGATTTTCTTCGGTCTCTGGATAGGAGACTGAGTTGACCGCAGGAAATTTGCCTAGGAGACAAAGGAACCAGATGCGAACTCAGTATGCAGGAAGTTGTTCATCCAAGTCGCTTTCTAATTTTGAGTCAAGAAGGCTTTGACCACTGACCCGAGCGAGAGAAAAAGAAAAATGGGGATGACGCTGATCAGGGCGCGGAATTAGCGTATCAACACCGAAGTAGAGACAAGATTACTGGAATCGACAACAGGCGGCACATCAAGGACCAACAGTTGATCAATACGAGACAGATGACGCTCAATGGGGCGCGTGAATTGTCCAACATCCAGATTAAGGCGGGAGGCTTCAGCAGAAAGCGCCCACTGGGCGGTGAATGAGTTTGAGTTGATATGCCAAGTATGTTATGTCCAGAGGGTACCAACGTCGGGAGACCTGGAGATAAGATCAAAGGAATGGGTTTATTCTGTCAATAAGATGAATATGAGACCTCATTCTACTCAGCGGCGAGACCCAGTTGCCCCGGTTCCGGGGGAGGCGTTGACTGAGTCAGCAGTGGTGGTATGTGTACCTCATATTGCCATGTGATCACGCCTGCTTATCAGGTATCAGTACCTTGGTCTTGGAATTCTCAATGGCAATTTCAATATGTCGCTTCATGGTCATATTCTCTCAATTACTTGATTTTTTATTGTTTTTTTGATTTGGCAGTAAACTACTACCATTAAGCAGTATGCGATTGTCCCCAGCAGAAGCATTAACACAGTTCGCTCAACATTTTATGTGGAACTAGATCCTAGATTCCCCTATCAAACCCCGGAAGTCCGTCAGAATCTGTTGCCATAATTCAGGTTGCTTCTGCGTAAAATTCTCGACCTTTTTAGGAGCAGATAAGTCTTCCTTCATGCGGGACTCATCCTTGGTCCCATTCAGCACCGCCACATTCTTCAAGCCCATAACTAAAGTATAAAAAGCAGCAGCCGGAGTTATGTTAACATAGTGAGCAAGTTGCTGCACTGGCTCGGAGCGCACGAGGTCTGGATTCGCTGTCAAAGTCCAGAAGCTTTGGTATATGATCTGATTTTCGCGGCAGAACGCACGCAGGGGGACATCAAACAGAGTGTCCTCGTAGAATCTGTTCTGGACCACTGACGGCTTCACGGTTGTTTGGGACGACGTGCACAATTCTCGGAGGATAGGCAATGTACAATTGGAGATGCCTAAATTCCGAATGTGGCGGGGAACATAAGTTTCAAGGGCGTGCCAGGCCTCCAGGGTCTGGGCCAAAGTTGACAGTGGTGAATGAATGATCACTGTGTCAATGTAGGACTCATCCACAGAGTTAGGGTCAACCTTTGCACGAAGATTGTGCAATGATGATTTGATAGATGCATGGACCTGATCCGTCACGGTCAGCGACGGATCATAGGGCATGTTGGCCAGATCCTGTGCCGAGACAGGACTATATTTAGTTTGCACCTAGTTTATAGTTAGTTAGCTACAACATAACTAGCAAATCCCAAAATATATCTATATTAAAAATAGCAACTGCCCACTCACATATAGGTCTGCTCGGCCGACGATCCCATCGGCAATTGCTCTGCGGATACCATCACCAACGAGATGCTCTTGGTAATGGCGGGGTTGGGCCGCTGTATCCACAGCCCGGAAACCAGCTTTGATCGCATTATAAACCAGATCAGCACTGCGTTCTTTCTTCCAGGCTGTGCCGTAGACGAAAACTGGGATGGTGGTGGAGACAGTGCCCTGAGTTGGACGCAGGCAATACTTTTCCCACATTTTGCCAACCGATCTAGTCATCTGTTTTTTTTTTTTTTTTTGAGAGAGAGAGATGATTGGGATAAATGGTTCGTAATTGACTAGTTTTGATAGAGTGTAGAGAGCAGAGCAGAAGTACGTTCAACTTGGGAATGTTCCAAATGATGTTATGATTGCGGGGGCCCACTTCAACATTTTCTTACTAAGTACAATATTGTACCTAGTTAGTTACCTACCTAGGTAGGTAGAAGCCCTTCAGGGCTAGGCGATACAACTATTACTTTATCGAGTATACCATACTGATGAGACTAGAATAAATTCACTTAGTTTCACTCAAAATTGGGCAAAAATAAAATCGATAGTCACGTTCGTCCGGACTAGCGGTCTACCAAGTCACATTGGGCGATTTCAACGGTATATACACATAAGAATATCCAAGGTTGTTAATAGATTGGCAACAAGCATTGCTTCAGGGACTTCAAGAATCCTGGAGCCTGGAGATTAACCCACATAAAATTTAGAGTCGGCTGTACGGAGGTATACTCCAGGACTTTATCTATATATAGCCAGAATGGTGAGAGCTCGGCTATCGGCAACCCGCATGGCTTCTTTCACTTGATATGTTTTTTGGTTTTCGAGAGAGTTGTGTATGAAATACTCCATATACAACATAACTAGTTAATTAACTACAACAAAGAAAGTCGATTAACCTATGGTCAAGGCTGCAGGATTTCCTAATATGCACCCGATTGGCCCCCACAGTGTGGCTTAGACCCGAGACTTGTATAGCATCTCCGGGGGTGGAATAACTAACTGAAGAATGAAGAATGTAGTTATGTTGTAGTTAGCTATGTCCAAAAGTACACATTTCAGGGATAAAGCATAGCCACGGTGCCTGCATATTGATAGAAGAATATGGAAAATACAGACACCAAATGCCAAATGCACGATATTATTAGCACTCTCTTGTTAGTACTGCCATTTAGTCTCTTGGCATAAACCAGGCAGCTGCTTTTGCACAATCAACATTGGCAGTTCTACGCTGATCGGCGCATACAAATTGTATTATTCCAAGTTGATCTTGTGGTTGACAAGGGTGGACGGGGGCTCAGTTCACTTTCTAAAAATCAGAACCCACTATACGCGGGGAGTGCCGACAAAGAAGATCATCACCTACATGTGTAGAGAGAGCTAAAAAAAAAAAAAAAAAAAGCAAATATTGGCTTACTTAGAATACCAACTTTAACATAAATATGACTTCAATTCCCGCCATTGATTTTTGGATCAGAAACAGAAAGACAACCAAATCCAACTACACTTGAAAATCATCAACATCAATAATCATGCGTGTCCAACAGCTCCTCCCTCTTTGTGGCCTCCTACTTGCCAGCGTTTCCATCGCATCCAAGTTGGACCACGACGACGTCCCCAATCGCTGCTGGTCTGCCTGTGGCTCCGTCGTCGGAATCGCCAAGAGTTGTGATGCCCAGCACGAACGAGACTCGGCTGAGATCCAATGCATTTGCGATTGGGACGCCGCCAAAACTCAGATTCCGCTCTGCTCCGCCTGCATCACCCAGTATCAAAATGACAGGCGCAACCACAACATCACCCATAACGATCATGACGACCATGACGACCATGATGACCATGATGACCATGATGACCATGACGACCATGACGACCATGACGACTATGACGGTGATGATGATGACGACGACGACGATAACGGTATGTATAATGTGAATACATCACTAAGATACAAAATAAATCTAATACATTAACCAGAGGCCCTTGACCTTGTCTACTCTTGCTCGCTCACCACGACTACCTACAACCCTGCCGCCACTACTGTGACTGGCACATCTACCACCACTGCTGGTTCAAACACAGCAACCGCCACAGATTCTTCTAGTACTACTGGTTCAAACGGAGCCGCCGGAACAGACTCTTCTAACACCAGCGGAACCAACAGCCAGGATTCGACTTCGTCTGTCTCCTCGGGATCCTCTGATTCCGCTGGTGCCTCAGGCTCTGCGTCCTCTTCCACTCCTACCCCTGATGCTGCAGCTGGGATTTCTGCTCCCGGTGCTGCATCCATGGCAGGTGTCATGGGACTGATGGCTTTTGCTTGGCTGTGAGAGGTCCGCCAAAGTCGAGCAAGTGAAGAGATATATGATGGTTTTATGAATATGTCCAATGTCTTTCTTTATATTTGCAGATGATATCGATGAGTTATGTCTAGTATGAGATAGTCTAGTATATGCAATTGACGATTTCGATTCTTTTGGAAAAGTCTTAAGCGAGAGAAGTATAGTTATGGTCGAGTTTATTTGGCGAAGATCTATCGGTGACTGGCTGACCCCGGGAGTAGGCAGAAAGTAGAGACAATATACAGCAACTTAATTAAGAAGCAATCACATTGAACATTAAGGCAAGTCTAGGTATTGATACATCCCAGAAGCTTTACATAAATTAAGTAAATACAATCACGTCTCATTCACAGGTGTTGCATGCATAGCCGTTTCCTTCACAGGTGTTGCATGCACAGGTGTGCCCTTCACAGGTGGTTCATCTACAGGCGTTTCATCATACCAATTGCCCCAGAAGTCATCATCAAAGAAATCATCAGCTGGCTCCACGTAATCCATAGCATATACATCCTTGTAACACTGTGCCTTTGCAGGACAACTATTCACGCCCGAGAGTTAGCATCAATTCCCTAGACAATCCTTTTTGTGTTATAACTTACAACACGGGATCCTGCCCGAAAATAACGTGCCATATGTATTCAAAGACACGACCACTCGTCTCGTCATCCAACTCGGTTGTCATGAGCCAATCGTGATACGACTCATAGGCGCTCCGTGGGCGTTGGAGGACCTGCTCCCTGGTTACAGCAAACTGAGCACAGCAGGGTGTCGCAACAATCTCAGGCACATCCGTATTGTTAAAGATACGGATCCAAGCACCCGCAAAGGCAAGCTCGGTGGTGCGACCAGCCATTTGCCGGAATGGGTGGACCTCATCAGGACATCCGGGATTCCAGTCGCAGCGTAGATTAAGATATCCAACTTGTCGAAGGTAGTCGAGTTGTAGTCTTTGGACGGTCAACACATTGTCCTGCTCCCAGAATTCGACATGGCCACTATATTGATGAGCGTGAAGGAAGACCATATACTCAGGCAATTTGTCGTAGTTGTCGAGAATATATTGCAGGTAGGCATTGCTTTCTTTGCCTTTATTTTGTTCGAGTTGTAAAGATGCCTCGGGGTCATCGACAAGGTAGACCGCGTGTTGCCATCTAGAATTCGAGTTCTAGATTAGTATTGGCACAACTTGTGATCGATTAGTGATTGGTCTATGGAGACATACTCTGGTAGCTCATCCTCGAGCCAACTAGTGTCTTCGTACGACATCTTCCCCAGAACAATGACGCGATCCGATTTCGGAGTGACCTTTGGACGAGAAGGAGCAGTAGACGAAGGTGCCACCATATCATTATGCTCTGCTGGAGCAATTATTTGGGCATTGTCGAGTACGCTTTCGAAGTCATAGAAATTGGGCGCCCCTCTAGATCCGAAGAATAATTCTCCCGCCCATTCAGCGCCGGGGACATCAATGGGGATGCGCTTCGGTTCCGGATTGGCCATCACTAGACGAGGCGTTGGTCGGGCCGTAGGAATCCATTTCCTTCGGGTTTGGGTCTGTGAAGTCGGCGTCGTAGTATGGGCCGAGACCAGCTCGATATATGAATCGCCATTTAAGACATAGAGGTCGGAAGTGATTCCATCAGGTTGCCATTGCAAGATGGAATCGAGGTGGAATTTGACCAAAAACAGGGTTATAATTAGCGCAGTGGCTATCACCGCTCGTAATGGAGTTCGCATTGTCCAGCATGCGAGTTGAAGATCAGAAATCGAAATCTAATCGAGATCCCAAGAAGCGAAAAGCCCACACTTTTTAAACGTACGTTAGTCTCCACTCAAACGCCTTGGCCTTCAGCCCGTCAGCTTGGCCGCGTGGTTGCTGCACAACATATACGTACCGTATCTGGATGTTAGTTAGTATAGTTATAGTTATATAGTTTTCTTTCTTTCTAGAGAAAATAATGTTGAGACTTTGGTTTATTACTGGTTTCCGAGCACTTTTTTTTTTATTCACCTCAAGTGAAATAATCATCACTGTCCACCGCGGCAAGTCGCAATCTAGCGAGTGCAACCTCTTTCTATGTGGGTCTGACACTCGTCACTCATTCGTGTCGAATAATTGGATATTATCATGAAACTGTCGATCTCTTGGGAATTATTTCAGAGTGTATGGAATATCTATAACTACGCATGTTGTGTGTTGTGTTAGTATAATGTAATATATATATATATACCTAGGTATATATATATGTGTGTGTGTGTGTGATAATGCCTGGCATTCCGTTTCAGTGCTCACTTCTTGCCGCTTTTTAATCACTGGCTAAGACACACACTAAGACAATTGATATGAAATTGCGAATGTTGAATGGGGGAGTAGTACTTAGGACACCGATCTGTAGTAAAAGTACAATGACTTTTTCCCACTACTCATTCATGAGTGCATTCCCTCTTACTAAATACGGATGCCATTAACTATACCTGGTAGTTCTGATGAGTCTGGCTCGTGTGTTCCTTGTTCCCCCTAATTCACTGTCAAAAAGGATAGATAGGAAGGAACCTTTGAGGCCTCATCTCAAAATAAGGTGGTAGGGGAAAGAAAAAAAGGAAATCAACGACGGCTGCAGGATTCGAACCTGCGCCCGCGAACGGAATTGCTATAATGAAACTATAATGAAACTTAGTTCATTCGAGGCAATCGCCTTAACCACTCGGCCAAACCGCCGTTTGTTATTTTTTGTTTTGTTTAAATTTATTCATATTTTTTAAACTCTTCCAAGGTTATCTATAGAATTACAAAGTTTTAGAATAAACGAAACTCACATGAGAAACCAAAAGGAGTGTGTTAATACTGGGGCCCCTTCGTGATTAAATAATCACACATAACTACCTAGGTAGGTAACTAGTTAGTTAGTTATATCTAGATATCTAAGAAAATTCCATCTATCCAACACTAGCCTAAAAAAAAGATAAAAGATAATAATGACGGCCTTAAGCCCACGAACAGAGTTGATTTCAAGAACAGGCTTTCCATGAGGAAGAGCTTCGCTCATTCAGATCAATCACCTTAACCACTCGGCCAAACCGATTCTCAAATGGCTAGATGTCTTCGGAGAACAGAGCGTAAAAAGGATAGTTTCATAAAAGCGGCGGCAGATCAAAGGAAAGCCCCACACGCCAGGGAATATTCGGTACGTATAGGTACATATATAACTTGAAGCGGATTTAAGGACTGCGTAAGGTGCATGCAATTAACCGAGTGATTTAGAATGTAACCTTGGGCCGTTTCAAACGGGTCAAACGGGGCAAACGGGTCAGATATTGAACATTATGTCGATTTATATTAATCCCTATCTATATGTCGCCATGCTGTATATACTGTTGAACAATCTCCCATACATGCATGCACTGAGCCCCTTTGTTTGTTATTTGCTATTTGCTCGCTTGTTTGCTACAATCGAGCAATGTTTAGATGGTTTAGCAGGGTATATAACCCCCTGCATTTCTAGTTTAATCAACAGAATGATTCTTCCTCTGCTTTCTCCCCACATAGTAGTAATATAGTTCAACAGATTGCTCAACATATACAATGTACGTCAGACTTCGAGGTCCAACCCTGCAAGGTTGGTTCATGGCCTGATTTCTCAGGTCTCACAACATGGACACTGCCAAGGCTTGTCCCGGCCTTGTCGTTTCAAGTATATCCCTTATTCTCTCTTGTTACTATCTCTTATTAACCTTGTAACTCTAACTCCAGCTTAACTATGCCAGATGGTTAATGACCGATGCAAAATGACCCGTATGGACACGACTTTGACTCAGTTTGAAGATCAAATATGGGTCTATTGGTAGAAATATGTCTCATTTTCCAGGGGGAGCGGGTGCCTCGTTTAACCAGCCGTGATATCCCAATATTGCTGTTTCCTGCCACAGCGGTCTCCGTGCGGGTAGATCCTAGCACCTCGGAGACTTTCATTTTCCTTGTTATTCCAGAGTACATAGTCCTACTCTGTACGGAGGATACGGGTTGCAATTCAATATCTGAGAAGTCTTGGGCTTTTTGAGAGTGATCAAGTCGGATGCCCAAGTGTGGCCTTGTCCCTTCCAGTCGTGTAGATAAGAACGTTGCTTGTTCCCTTCGCCTCAGGGGCTACATAATAACCCCTTTGGGGTGTACCCATGAACGACTAGTTACTCGTTAGGATTACTAAGACAATCTTTCTGTCCATCCATGGATAAATAGAGCTAGTGAGGGAGTCCATGGCTGTCCAAGTCACAGATTTCTCCTGAAACGTGGATGTGCTTGCGACCCGACCCGACGCTCTGTAGATCAATCCACTACCATATATTCTTTCCCTGGTTTGGGGTTGATCGCAAACTCTCGTCTTAGTATGGAGTAGGTTGCGCCGGTTAAGTAGAGAGCAAGATCAAAAGTGCACCCGGGCAATGTCATGCGCACTATATAATCTATCTTGCCAGCGACACCTCCTAATATAGAGTACAGGACCTGTTACGGGGCCAATTACGGGAGCGGCACCCGAAGCGAATTAGGTTAATTCAGAGAAGGGGGAAAAAAGTTCCGTCTTTTCTAGCGTCCATCTGGAACCCAGCGGCAATACTCCGGGAATACGGAGGAGTCAATGCCGAGTACGGAGTACGATTGTCGTAGTAACGAGTCGGAGAGCTCCAGAGCTCCACCCGGGATCTGACACTGCCACTAAATGTTCTAATCAGCGTCTAGCGGGTTCTAGCTGGACCACATGAACCTCTGAGGAGCTTCGACGCATGCGCTAGAAACGGGGGATGCGCGGATCGTGGAGACCAGGCGAGAGTACCAATTTCGTGGAGTGGGACTGACACCAATCTACATACCTAGCCTGTATGTACTCCGTACTCCGTGCTCCATCTTCCGTAGTGTCAGCTGCAATAGCCGATAGGAATAAGGTGGCCTATCCGACTGGGCCGAACCATTAGGGAAAATTGTTAAAATAAGT